CCATCAGCCTCACTTAGGTCTCCCTTATCACCCACATGGCCGTCTTCACTTCTAGGAGGAAATGTGTATTTCTTGGGGTGTGTTATGAACAGAGGGCTTCACCAGAGCTGCCCCAGGTATCATCAGCCTTGACTACAATGGGGGTCATGTTAACAGAATTACATAATTAACTGGCTAATCAAAAACTACTCTCAGCCCCCTACACAATCCCCCTTGGGGATTCTGGCCCCTTCCTTGTTGATGTCCGCCACCCATAGAGCCATTCAGGGACACACCACTGTGGCTGTTGCCAAGGTCTGCTGGGAGAAAATCAGGGAGGCTGAGGAAGCCGAGAGCATCTAGGCAGAGCCACCCAGAGTTCTACACGGGAAAGGTGTCGCTTCTTCACGGTGTGTTGCTCCGTATCATTTTGGGATAAAGGCAGGGCAGTCAGGGTCCCCACTTCCCCCAGTGTCCCTTATGGGAACAGTTCCTGCAACTTCTGCCAGCAGACAGTCTCCATAGGACTTAACTGGGCCAAGGAGCAGATTCTACGGCTTCCTACTTACTCTCCATCTCCCCGTCAGTGCCCCAGCCAGAAAATGCTGCTCTGTGAAAGGCACTGATAAGAGACTGAAAGGACGAGCCACATACTCGAAAAATATTTACAAAACACATGTCTGATACTCGACTTGTATCCAAACTATGCAAAGAATTCTTTTAAAACAGCTGTATTGAATTATAATTCCCCTACCACATAATTCACTTATTTAGAGTGTATACAGTTCAGTGGTTTTGGAGATAATACATTATTAACTTTTTAAGTTGTGTAAAGTGTGTATATATATGAAAAACAAAATTTGATTAAATCATTTAAGCGTACAGTTAAGTGGCATGAAGTACATTCACAATGTTGTGCAACCATCACAGCTATTTCCAAAACTTCTTCATCACCCTAAACAGAAATTCTGTGATCACTAAGCAGTAACTCACCTCTCCCTCACTGCCCAGCCCTCAGTAATCTCTAATCTGCTTTCTGCCTCTATGAATTTGCCTATTCTAGATATTCTGTATGAGTGGAGTCTTACAGTCTTTATTCTTTTGTATCTGACTTATTTCATCTAACATAATGTTTTCAAGGTCCACCCAGGAAGTAGCATGTATCAGAACTTCCTTTTGATGTTTGAATAAATTTTTATTGTATGTGTGTACATTTTGTTTATCTGTTCATATGTTGGTGGACACCTGGGTTGATTCCACCTTTTGGCTGTTGTGAATAATGCTGCAGTGAACATTGGTGCTCAGGAATCCATTTAAGTCCTTGCCTTCATTTCCTTTGGGTATATGTACCTAGGAGTGGAATTCCTCAGGTCATATGGTATTTCTTTTTGAGGAAATGCTAAACCATTTTTCCATAAAGACTGTAACACTTTATATTCCTATCAGCTGTGTATGAGGGTTTCAGTTTCTCCGTATCTTCACCAACACTCGTTATTTACTGTTTTGGTTTTTATTGTTGTCTGTTTTGTTTTGTTTTGTTTTGTTACAGCCATCCTAGTGGGTGTGAAATGTTATCTCATTGTAGTTTTGATTTGACTTTCCCTAATAACTAAAGATGGTGAATATTTTTTCATGTGCTGTCAGCCATTTGTATACGTTCTTTGAAGAAATGTCTGTTCATTCGTCCACTTTTTAACTGGATTGTTTTTCTTTTCATTATCTTGTTGTAGCACTTTAATTTATAGATTCTGGATAGTAAACTATTATCAAACTATTATATAATTTCCAAATATTTTCTCTCATTTTGTAGGTTGCTTTTCACTTTTTTGATAGTGTCCTTTTATGCACAAAAGTTTTTAGGTGATGTCAGTTTATCTAATTTTTTCTTTTGGTGTCATATCAAAGAATCCATAGTCAAATGCAAGGTCATGAGGATTTACTCCTAAGTTTTCTTCTAAGAGTTTTGTGATTTTAGCTCTTATATTTAGGCTCTTGATTTATTTTGAGTTAATTTTTGTATTTGGTGAGAAGAGTCTAACTTCATTCTTTTGCATCTAGAAATCCAATTGTCCCAGCAACTATTCTTTCCCCATTGAATGGATTTGGCATCCTTGTCAAAAATCAATTTGCCAAGGTTGTATGGGTTTATTTCTGAACTCTTAACTCTGTTCTGTTGATCTATGTCTAAACTTATGCCAGTACCACACTGTTTTAACTACTGTAGTTTTATTTTAAGTTTTGAAATCTTCTTTTTAAAAATGGTTTTGGTTGTTCAGGGCCCCTTCCTATTCCATGTGAATTTGAGGACCGGCTTTTCTATTTTTGCAAAAGAGGTCATTTGAATTTTGATAGGGATTGCATTTGAAATCGTAGATCAAGGAACTATTAAAACTCAGCAATAAGAAAATAAACAATTAAAAATGGGCAAAAGATCTGAACAGTACCTTACCAAGAAGATATACAGAATAAAAATAAGCATATGAAAAAGATGCACATCATATGTCAATAGGAAGTTGCAAATTAAAACAATAATAACATACCACTACATATCTATTACAGTGACTGAAAAATTAAAAATTGACAATACCAATTGCTGGAGAGGATGTGGAGTGACAGAAACCCATTCACCGCTGATGGGAATGCAAAATGATACAGCCACTTTAGAAAACAGTTTGGCAGTTTCTTAAAAAGCTAAATATAATCTTATCATATGATCGAGCAACTGCATGTATTTACTCAGATGATTTGAAAACTTTTGTCCACACAAAACCTTATGCATAAATGTTTATAGCAACTTTATTTACATTCACCAAGAACTAAAAGCAGCCAAGGTGTCCTTCAACAGATAAATGGAGAAACAAACTGTGCTACAACCAGACAATGGAATGCCATTCAGTGATAAAAAGAAATGAGTTCTCAAACTACAAAAATACAATGCATCTTAAATTGTTAAGCGAAAGAAGCCAGTCTGAAAAGGCTGCATACTGTATGATTCCAATTGTATGACATTCTGGAAAAGACAAAACTGTACAGACAGTAAAAACAAAACAAAACAAAACAAAAAAAGTCAGTACTTGCCAAAGGCTTAGGGAGTGGAAGGAGGGATGAAAAGTTAAAGCACATGGGATTTTAGAGCATTGAAATGACATAGTATTATAATATCATATGATACTATAATGATGGATACGTGACATTAGACTTTGTCAAAACTCATAGAACTTTACAGTACAAACAATGGACTTATTATATCCAGATTGAAAAAAAAATCATTTGCTAGGCTGAAGGATCCCAGGAAGGAATGCAGACTGTGACTGTGTATTACAGACGTATGATACAACCTCAGTGAAGAGGGTGGAAGGAAACGTGCTGATCTGAGTAACTTTGGAAATGAGAGGAGTTTGTGAGACCAAAGGCAAAAGCAATCGCACCTAAGCACTGTGCTCTAGGTTATAGCGTTGCTTCCCACCATGGTACAGGTTAGCAGTTTGATACTGCTCCCTGTGTATACTGGAACTGAATAATTAAGTAAAAGGGTAGCAGATGGTGGGAGCTATGTCTCTCACTGTTGGAATGGGAACTCACAGATCAGCAAGGCAGTGAGGCTAGAATGATCCACGTGGTAATGGATTAGAGTTAAAAGACAACAGTATGAACTGATATTTAGCTTAATACAGATTCATTTTCTTGCTCTGTCAGCTGGGAGGGACTAACAACAATGAAACTCCAATAATAAGAAGCACAAAAAATAAGTAGAGCCCAGATCTTGGTTTCTAATACCATACTCCAAAAAAGGAATCCAGCCTCTTTGAAAAAATGGCTGATTCTAGGACTTGGACAGGCAGTATACAAGATAAGCCTGGAGCTTCTTGTAGTGCCAGAAAGTAGGAAGTACTAGTAAAAAAAAAAAGGAAAGGAAGGAAGGAAGGGAGAAAGAAAGAAAGAAGAAGTGGAAAGAAACAATCAAAATTGTAGGAGGATGTCAAAGGGACACAGAGCCAACTGAAGAAGTTCCCAGTGGCCAAAGCTGGAACAATTTGAGCAAAAAAAGTAATAAATAAGGCAGTATTGGGTTATAACCCAGAGTATGAAATAAATACCCATGAGTTCATTTTAATATAAATAAACAGTTGAATAAACAAATAAATGGGGAGAAGAGACAAATCTCCCATGCAGAAGAATTCCAAAAAAGGAGTAAGTTTACAGTGGAAAAACCTGACAAACACTACTTCAGCCAGATGATCATGGTCAACATCTACAGTGTTGAGTCATGTTGCTAGTGTGTCCCTTGATCTGATGTGATGAAAATGGCGCTTTACCTCTGTGGTCTTACTCCTCAAAACCCACCTCCCCACTGTAGTCATGAGAGAAACAGCAGACGAATTCCAGTAGAGGGATAGCATGCAGAATACCGGAGCAGTGCTCCTCAAACCTCTCAAGGTCATCAAAACCAAGGGAAGTCTGAGGAACCGTCAGAGCCAAGAGGAGCCTAAGGAGACACAATGACTGCACGTAATGTGGGATCCTGGTTGGGGTCCTGGAACAACAACAACAAAACATTAGGTAAAAACAAAGGAAATCTAAATAAACCATGGACTTTACTTAATAATAACACAGCGTTATTGATTCATTAACTCTTAACGAATGTACTGTGCTGATGTAAGATATTAATAATTGGGGAAACTGGGTCAGGAGATATATGGGAACTCTCTGTACTGTCTTCTCAATGTTTCTGTAAATCTAAAGTTGTTCTAAAGATTAAAAAATATTTTTAAATAAACAAAAAAAATCTCTGATGATGTGGATATTTTCCATGCTCTTCTAAGAGGAAGCTGAGGCTAAGAAGAGATAAGGCAGCTGGCACAAGACTGCCCAGCTACTTAAACAGCAGAGGTGGGATTCGAGTCCAGGGCTCTGCTGCTGAGTCACAGTGACTTTGGCCTGACTGTGGATGGACCCTCTTCTGTTCCTTGGTTTCCTGCATATCCATTTATGTGTGTGTGCTTTTTTCTTGTTCTCTCCAGGGTATGGCCTTCACCCTTGAAGAAAGACTGCAGCTTGGGATCCACGGCTTAATCCCCCCCTGCTTCCTGAGCCAGGACGTCCAGCTCCTCCGGGTCATGCGATACTACGAGCGGCAGCAGAGTGACCTGGACAAGTCAGTACCTAACGGCTGCTCTCTTCCCCGGGCCCTGGACTGAGCTGCTTCCTGTGGTCCGCGGAGGGTTTTCTGGGGACCCTCTACCTAGGAAAGGCTGAGAGCCCCGCGAGATCTCAGACCCAGCCCTGCCTTCCATAGGGTGAGGGCCTCCCTGAGGGACAGGGCTTGTTACGATCCAGACACAGTCGATGTGTCCTGGAGGACTGAGAAGGGAGCCTGAATTCCGACCAGTGGAATCCAGTTGGGCCTCTGGAAAGTGATGGACTCTGGTCAACCCAGAGAGCACAGACAGGACTTCAGGTTTCAGCAGTGGGATTTGTGGAAAGCATTTCACTCAGTGGGAAAAAGTGGAGCAAAAATGTAGGGACAGGTGTGTTAAGGAAGCAGAACATGGCCCAGGTCCCTGGAATAAGGGGGATGAGGTGGAGAAGGGGGGAGATGGACAGGGGCCCCTTGGGAAGGACCTGGGATGTCACATGATGGAGGTTTATGGGCACAGTTAGTAACCCTGCTGTTCCTCTAGGGACAGTATCTCCAGTGGGGAGACAGACGTGAAGAACTAAATGGGGAATCACAGGGTCAGCCTTACCAGTCTTATTAAAGAAGGTAGCGACTTCACAGGTAACATGGCTATGAATTGGCACCGCCAGGATTTGAACACAGATAATTAGCCCCAGAATCTTTGCTTTCAACTTCTCTGCTACACTACAGCCAGGAGGCATCAGAGCTCAGTGGCTGCAAGACTAGACGGTAGTACTAGACCGAGTTCAAATCCTCAAGAATGAGGATTACCACTTACTAGTACAAGTCCCTCGGGCTCTCTGGGTCATTCCTCATCTGTACACTGAGTACATCAGTGGTATCTAACTCACAGGGTTTGATATGGAGTAAATGCATTAGTATTTGTGATGTGCTTACAACAGTGCCCAGCCCATAGTAAGCACTATGTAAGAATTTGTTAAATAAACGTGTCACCTTGCTATAGGCTCCAACAGAAATGTAGGAGCAGACAGGTGTTCCCTCTACATATCCATAGAGCTCAATGGCCGAGATTTTGGGTCTTCGAGGGTGTGGCTGTTCCCCTCGGCAGCATGTCAGGGTGCTCCTGCACCCCCTTCCTGTGCTCCCCTCATAGCATCCATCACTTCTGAGCAGTAGTGGATAAGGAAGCCTCTGTGCCCCACCGAAGCACTAACCTCTGGAGTTAATACTCACATTAGCTCCAAGCTCACACTGCAACTGAGGCCAAACATTCTCCCCCTTGTTTGTCCCACTCAGATGAGGTCTAACCATGTCACACTGAAGAGCAAACCAGGATGTACACAGTGATTCCAGCTAACAACATTAGACACTCCCTAGCTTTGAACAGTCTGAACTTCTCTCTTTTGTTAAATTTATAAAGAAGAATTTAAGTCCAAAGTGAAATCCTCTTTCCTAAAGATATTAAACTCGAAAACTTAAAAGTTTAGAACCCTCCCCTCCCTAGTTCTCTCCAGCTAGATGGGTCTCACTCATATGCCTGGGAAGACGTGCCAGGCCCAGGGGGCAGGGCTGTGCCTCATCCTGGGAGCACTGGAGAGCTCACTCCAGACGCTCGCTCTGTTGACTCCTCTGACCTACTCATTCTTGGACTCCCTCATTTCAGCACGTGCTTGGGGAAATGCTCGAGAGGCTCCCCAGTTCATTATGGGTAAGGACAGTGGTGTGCTGGTAGAGGTTGAATAACTGGTTCTGGGGCAGGGGGTCATTTACAGCATTTGCCAATTCCTGTGGTGTAAATACTCCCACTATGGCCGATTTCAAGTTACTAACTTGACACCACTGAATGCGGAGTTGAGGAGAGATGTGAGCAAGTGGCTACTGACTAAGGGAATCTGCGCTAGTAATGAGCTGAGATCCTAGGTATTCTAAGCATAAGTCATCCCTTCCTAAAGGTGCGTTCTAAAACAGTTTTTAGTTCTGGACCAGTGCCTTTGATGAGGAAGAAGAGCCTAAGGCCCCAAGAAGTCCCAAGGCTTCCTCAAAGTCACACATCTAGTAAACAGCAGAGCTGGGATTCACACCCAGGGCCCTGACGCCACACCCAGGAATCAGTTCCCTGTCAGAGCATCTCTGCCACCCAACTCCACGCCAGAGCCTCAGGTGCCTTCATTACCTTTCCCAAACTGTTGTCCAGAAAGGTTGTGACGTCAGCAGTCACTTACACCTCATTGGGAATTTCAATCCCTGGGTTTTTCCCTCCCAGACTTTTTTGCATTTTTAGGAGTGTAAATGAAAGACTCTTCCTGGCTTAGTGATTTCAGGCTTCGGGGACTAGGTAAGAGGGAGATTTTTTTGGAGAATTCTTCCTGAGATCACTTGGCACTTGACCACTTGTGAACTCTGCTTGTGACAGGAACCAGCCCTGTATGGCTGGAAAGGCCAGTTCAAACATCACTGGTCCACCCAGTATTTTCTTGACCCTCCCCTGGTCCCAGAATGCTATCATTCTGCTGTCATTCATTAATGTCCACATGATAACAATATAACTATCTTGCACCATGATTGAGAGCACAGATTCCAGAGTTAGAATGCTTAGGTTCATATCCCTTGGATGAATTATTTCATTTCTCTGTGCCATGGTCTTCTTGTCTCTAAACAGTGCAAAATTATAGTATCTATCTCACAAGTCATTGGGAGTCATGTTCCCCATGTTAAATGAGTTAATAAAAAATATTTAGGGGTTGAGGGTGGTAGAGCGCTTGCTTAGCATGCACGAGGTCCTGGGTTCAATCCTCGGTACCTCCACTAAAAAAAAAAAAGTAAAAACAATCTATTTAGAGAAGTACCTACACCATATATAATAGTAAGCACCATAAGGCAGGTCATATTTTCCACATTTCATAGACAATGAGACCCATGCTTAGAGGAGATGCTGATTTGCCCGTGAACGTGGGAGCCATGGGTCCCTGCACCAAGAGCCTTCCATGCTGTCATGTATGGTGCATGTGTGATTGGCATGGTTCTTGTCTCCCCTTCCAAGGTACATCATTCTCATGACGCTCCAAGACCGGAATGAGAAGCTCTTCTACCGAGTGCTGACATCAGACGTGGAGAAATTCATGCCCATCGTGTACACGCCCACCGTGGGGCTGGCCTGTCAGCACTACGGCCTGACCTTCCGCAGACCCCGGTGAGCAGCCCTGGGGTGAGGGCTCAGGGAGGGGCTGTCTCTTGGAGGAGAATCAATTCTCCCCACTCACCTTGCTTGGTTGGACCCTGGAGGCTCTTCCTGATGTGGGCAGTGGCTCAACAAGACATTTGACTTTAATCTCTTGCTCAGGAAAATGACCGCATGCACAGAGAAATGAGCTGAGAGAGTAGCTAGCAGGGGGACCTCGGAGCTTCTCCACCTCCCAATAATAAATGCCTAACATGTTGTTCAGACTTGGCCTGAGAGCTCTTTCAGATTGTTTTTCTCTCATTATCTACCTACCACCTCCCTCCCTCTCCCCCTCCAAACCCTGCTTTCCGGGACATCTCCTGTGCTGAAGCTCTCCTGCCAATTCGGGCCAATGAATAATGGAGTGTTGGATACCAAAGACAGTTCTCTTGCTGATTCAAAGAACCACAGTATTCCTTCTCTTGGGCTTGACTCAGATTCCACTCAAAATTAGGCAAAAATTTGGCACTACATTTCCTTTAAGAGCCAAGGAATTTGGGGGCAGTTTTCTAAAGAGAACACCTGGGTTTTTCCTCGGTAAGTTCAGAATGCATATAAACGTATTTAAATTAAAAAGGAAAAACGGGAGGGTTTTCAAAAGGTCTTCAGTACAAGGTAATTATCAACACATAATTCTAGCACCGATGATTAAGGAGCTGCCTGGGTTTATTACATGTCATGGAACACTGTTTCAGTCTGTGCTAGAATAGGTTAATTTACAACATACTGTGCACAGATGTGTAATTTAACATTTATGTAGAATTTATAAATCTGTGTTTATAAATCGTGTGCTGTGTGAGGAACACGTACTCATGGGTCTAGAACATCTTTTGGTAATGTGGAAAAACAGCCTTCCAGTTCTGAAGTCAGCATTTGGGATAAGCATTGCAGGCCGAGCCCAGGGAGTCCCCGGTGTCACCCTTGGCAGAGGGCAGCGTGTCACACCTCGTCTCGGCTGGGGTGTCCAGATGCTGCAACAGACAGTCCTCATCACTCAGAGTGGCCACATTTCTGCCATCCTGGGGGTGGGGGGCTGGGGACCACTGCACCAGGCCCCGTAGCAGTTCTGGTCTTCAACCTGACTCTTTTAACGGGAGAGAGACTCCTGTTCTCTTGTTCTCATCCCTGAAACCAATACTGGCAGAGACTGTGGAGCTGACATTTCTGAAGGATGCAGGACCCTATTTACCTCCCTGTTCCTACTCGGAAATGAGCCTTCCAGGTCTTCCCTCCTGCACAGTGCAGGTCAGCTCACTCCTTTCTGTCCTCTGAGACTGTCCCCTTGGGCTTAAACAAACAAGTCCAGCACTTAGAAAAAACTGAGCCTGGCACAGCCCAGCTCGTCCTCAGAAATCTCATGTTCTGTCTACACAGCTCTGGCCTCCATGCCCAGGTACACATGGCATTCTCTGCACGCCTTTGCATGTGTGATCCCCTCTGCCGACTCCTGCATTCTCTCCTTTCCTCGTTCTCTGCCCATAAAAATGCAGATTGTCCTGCATGGCTCCCCACAACCAGAGTCAGCTTCTCTGTGGAGCCCTCCGCAATCTTCCCCAGGCACAAGTGATCACTCCCTTCTCAGCCTCCCCCACAACCCATGACGCATATTTCTATCCCATAGTTTTATTTTTGGGTGCTTTATGTTTTTGATGATTTGTACATCAGCCTTCTCTACTGGAACACAAATTTCTGGAGGGGGCAGGAAATGCATCAGATCCATTTGGCGAGTTGTTGACACTCAGATAGGAAGTAGCATTGTGTACAGAGCGGGAAGAAAGAACCAGGTCTTTGCAGTCAGCCCTGAGGTGTGGTCTCCTTGACCTTGAGCAAGTCACTTATCCTCTCTCAGCCTTAATGTCCACATTTATGAAATGGAGAAAATCATGCTACCTACCTCAAATGATCATTGTGAGCATAAAATGCGGTATTGGGGATTAGCTACTTGGCATAAATGTTAGAGTCTGTTTCCTTTAGTAACTGTTATAGGAGGAAGGAAGGACTGATGAATGTAGAGTCATATTACATATCTGCATTTTAAAATTCTTACATAGAAAATTCAGTCATTGAACATGTAGTGAACTAACATGGATAACTAGAGATGTGACTTGACTCTTTCAGACCTACTGTTTCCTGCAGAGGTCTTTTAACTGTCAAGGCATGGCTCACTGCCACCACTGGCTTGCAGCTGAGATCATATGGAAACACGAGGTTATGTGGGAGCCCTTCTCCACAGACTCTGTGGACTAGATTGTGAATTTGGTTATTGGCTTCAGACAAACTAGTACCAAGCTGGTGAAGGTAGAATTTGCCTCCAGGGCCCATTGCAGAATCCAGGAAGCATGCAAGACTGAATTTGAGTTAATGACCATTTATGGAGCAGTTACTAGGTGCTGGGCATCATGTTACACACTGTGAAGTTACCCCCATGTTCTTCATCTCAAGAATAGTCATGTAAGTTAAATATAATAAAAGTTAAAAGGAAATAAGATATTTAATAGGGACAGAAAATTACAGGAGCACAAGGGAGAGGAAAATCTGTTTTCCCTGGGGGCAGCCTGAATGCTTCACAGAAGAGATGACATTTGAGCTGGTGCTTAAAGGCTGGATAGGAATTCCATGAGTAGAGAAGGGAACGGCCATTCCTTGGAAGGGTTTGGTTTTATGAGCTTTGTAGTCAGCCGGGCAGTCAGCTCACTGGCAAGGAGGGCAAAGGGCGGGGAGCTAGGCCTTTACATCCTTTGGCTTGTAATAGATCTTCCCTACGTCCCATAAGTTTAGTTTGGAAACAGTATCTCCATTTCACAGATGAGGAAACTGCGGTGGCCAGAGGAAAGGAACTTGTCTGAGATCACGATTGACAAGCAGTTGGTGAATTCAAAATTCTGACTGTGGGAATTGGGGAAATCAACAGCAAGAAGATGACATTTGAGCTGGGCCATGAAAAATGAATGCAAAGAATTGAGACAAAAAGTTTTGCTCGACGGTGACCCAGATGCATTCACCTCCCCCTTGCTAGAATGTAAGGCTTCTGGGAGCTCATGGTAGGTGAAACAGGAGAGTGGAGGGGCTAAGGAAGAGAACTGGCCGAGGGGTTCTGCCCAGTGCTTGATCTTCTTCCCATCACCCAAGAGGATTGGATTAATGGGGAACTGTTTGACACAGGCCCAGTCAGTGATGGAGAGGGTCATGGCGGCAGAGCGGGGGTCCATGTGGGTGGAAACAGGGCCCTGCCTATCAACTGAGCCCAGAGAACCAGGTCAGCCCTGAGAGGGTGTAGAGAGGGGGCTGCAGAAGCTGGACACACAACATGGAAAACAAGCGTGTGATAGTCCCAGGAGGAGACCTGCAGTTGAACTAGAACCTGGAGAAAAATCGCAATCATAGTAACTACTTGCTAAGGGCCAGGTACTGTCCTGAAATCTTTACATAGATTAACTCATTTAATTATCACAGCCCCATTTGTAGATGAGAAAACTGAGTCATAGAGAAAACGTGCCCACAGTCACACAGCTCATAACCAGCAAAGCCAGGACTCAGACCCACCCAGTCTGAGCCAGAGTGTGGATAGGTAACCACAGCACCACGCTGCTTGCTACAACAGTTTGGAGCTGTGCACATTTGGTGGGTATCAAGGTGGAGCATCCTTGCAGCTCCTGGAATTTGATTCCCAGGGGTCTAAAGTGAGGGCTGCAATATACCGTTTCCAGAACCTCTCCTGGGAGGGAATGATCCCCGAGTCCCGGGCCGCGGCTGAGTGGGGCTGAGGCAGGCATGGGCAGACTGAACCGTCCTCTTGGATTCGTCCCTCCCACTCCGGATACAGACTTCCCGCATGTGTTTTGCAGGAACCCTTCTTCAGATGACTACGCAATTAAGCTATCTGACATGTGACATTCTGAACTGTTTGCTCCAGGTTTCCATTTGGCTGCTTTCCAGGTCTTGATTCCATACCTGCCTTGTTCCTAAGGGAAAGGAGAGCTTGGGCTCCACCCCAGCCGTCAGCTTCATCTGAGGCCTGGCTGGGAATGGCTTTGTGGATTAACATCCAAAGGGAAGAGAGCCCCAAGGCCGAGAGGGAGAGGGCCAGCTCCTTCTCAGTTTCTGAAATGATAAACATTCCTGTCAGGCTTCCGGGAACAATAGCGTCCTCTGTGAAAGGGCCTGGCCCCTGACCAAAGCTAATTAGGTCCAGCTGAGGCTAAAATTGAACCTCCGACACCCCTGGGGCTCTGCCTCGTTTCATAACCCGGGGAGAGGTGCCAGAGTATCTCAGGGACACCTGAGTACCCCTGAGCAGAGGAGACACAGCAGAAGGTTCTGGGCTCTGAGGAGCCTCCTCTGCCCCTACCTGCCTCTCCCCTGACACACCCTCTGCATGTGCCTCCATGGGCCATGGATGCTGGCTAGTGTGGCTTGAAGAAATCACTCCAAGGTCATCGGTGTGTGACGTGGAAGAGGTGGAAGCCAAAGGGGAGGCAGAGCAGGAGGAACGTAGCTCAGCTATGGAGCAGGTGTGGGGAGGAAGCCAATATGGCGGGTTTGCTGACCAGTGCCAGCGAATATCTCCCTTGAGGAGGCTGCCTGCCTTGGACCAGTTCAGTCCTCTCCCTCCTCATCCTCTGAGCTCCAAGTGACGTGCACACACACACACACCTGTAGACCTAACACGTCCCCAGCCTCTGTGTGGGGTCCCACCTGTGTGGGTGATGAGAGCTGGGTTGCAGGTAGTGGGAGGAGCACAGCCTTTGGAGCCAAGCGGACCTGACTTTGAATCCCAGCTCCTGATGACTTTCGACAGTTAAATTGGCACCCCTCAGTCTCCTCGTGTGTAAAATGGGAACAGTGCCCATTCCCGTGGCTGCTTGTGAGGCTGAGCAAGATTCCACACGTCAAGGGCCCTCAGGAGCACTCGGCCGCTGTGATCCACCTGACCTTCCCCCACCCGTAGATCTGTCGTCTGACGCAGTCAC